TTATAGTATAATGGGCCCCCAAACTCAATAAAGCAGTCCTTATTATAATTATAGTATAGTGGGCCCCAAAACTCAATCAAGCAGTCCTTATTATAATTATAGTATAATGGGCCCCAAACCCCTGTCCAGGCTGGTGAAAGATTTGGAGGACACGAACTTTGCCGGCCTGTCAAAGGCTTGAGAGCCCCTGGACCCTTTTTGCTTTTCGACATGAAGGTTTAGGATTTAGGGTTCAAGGGTAGCAGTGCAGGGGTGTTCTTGCAGATTTTTGTCAGAGGTTCAACTTCAATGAAGTGGCCGTTACAACCTGGAAGAGGGATTTGAGATGGTAGCGAGAGGATACGGCCTTGAGGGAAGTGCGAGGGCGAGAGAAGAGACGCGCCTGGTTTGTATGTGGGACCAAGTTGGCTCGGCACACTGGACTGAGATTGGCATCCCCTGTCCCCCTTAATTCGTCGCAGTGAAACTGCGCGTGCACTTGTTTTTTACTGCCGGCGTTCGGCTGGAGGCACGTGGAAGCATGGGGAGCTGTTTCTGTGCAGTAGCTGGACATATCATGTTCCAGACATCTGTACCATGCCCTCCAGGCATAGGCACTGGTAATTGGATTACGACGTTTATGACGGCCGAGAAAAAGTCGGTAGCGCCGAAGCAGATAATTTGATATCGGCTTCACAAATCTCGGGCGTCTGAGGCTACCTGGCCCTCTGAATTCAGACGTGCCAGAAACGTGCTGCTTGCATCACGGCAAAGCCGTAAAATCGTAAAGGTGATAACGATGAGTGTGTTGCGTTTGGCGCCCTTTGGCTGCCTTTGACATGCAACCACCGCTTGGTCTGACCAGCGACTCAGCTGGTTCTGACAAGCCATCCAGGCTCCTCAATTTTTATCGGCGCGACCCGGCTGCACAGACGTGCATGGGTTTCAAGGGTCTTTCAAGTGGCTGCAGGGGCGTTCGTCCCAAGGATGGCAAAGCCTAATCTGCTCAAGGGTTCTGAATCTCAGATGGAAAGCTTGACTGAAAGAGTCCTTGAGCAGTACCGTTGGAAGGATGTGCGACATGTTCATGACTGATGTCTTTCCTGCGTCGCCCCTCAAGCGGCTGAACTCTGCCGGATCGGCTCAAGCTGACTGCGGTTGGCCGACACCCCCGGGACCCCTCAGTCAGCAATCGCCTGGAAAGGCACCTACAAGAAACTTCCATATCTTCAGGCCGGCCTGGGTGTGCTGCCATTTGAAGCATACAGCTGTGTGCATCCCTGGTCTAAGGTAGCTGGCTGGACACAGCCATGAGGGGGATGCCTTCTGGCATGTCCTTCAAAACCATTTTCATGCTTTGCCCCTGGATGCTGAGCTTAGCAGGGCCGGTCTTGCCACATGCCTTCAGTGCAGACCCAGCTAGGGAAAGCCGCCAGACAGAGCTGGAGCACGCCTTGTCGGGCATTTTTGCGGCACTTCCCAAGACAGCAGAGGGCACGGTCCGATCAACGACAGAAGCTAGGCAGCATGAAGCTAGCGTCTTGAACTGCCATGCACGTCACAGCACTTCTTTTCTGCATCTCATGTCAGGCACAATATGCACTGCATCGGCTTTTTGCTCAGCTCTACGGATGGCAACTCTATGGGCATAGCCTCAGCGGATCCATACCTGTCAACACCGCAGACTCAGCGATGCTTCTTACATTCGGGGCGAAGATGTCCAGCAACGTGACACAGTGGCTGCATGCTCGCCTTTCGGACGGCGGGCTAAGCATTACGGACCTGGCAACACTGGCAGCGATCATTGAGGAGATGGTCCACGAGGAGGCAGACATGCGTCTAACTGCAGCTTTCCGCGCGCTGCAGATGTCGAAACACAGACCTCTGACTCGAAACGAGTCGACCTCGGCTATCGAAGCCTACATGGCCAGCTTCGTGATGGGCGTGGAGATGGGCGACCTGGGAAGCGAAAGCGACTCGTCTAAAAGGGGCGGCTTTGTTTCCGAAGAAGACGGCACTTATCCGTGCAATCCATGTTGTGCTGAGCTGTGTGCTCGCATGTGTGGTGCTGGCTAAGGTATGTTGGAGTTGGTGCAAGAGGTGCCAGAGCAGTACCCCACCTGGCCCGCAACGCAAGAGTTTCTACAGGGTATCCAGGCGGAGATGTTTCAGAATTCCTCGTCGCTCTCGTTCACAGACCTTTCGCGGGTGGTTGCTGCAGTTGATGAGAAATATGGTCGTTGGCAAAGCCATGAGTGCGGGGCATTGAAGGCAGAACTCCTGCAGAATGAGGAGCATCCGCGCACTGGCAGAGTTCGCTTGAGCGACTTTTACAGCATGGCATTGAAGGGAGGGCAATGGCAATTCAGCGAAAGCAGTTCATACCTTCGCCAGATCGGTGCCCTTGATGAAACAGACCCGCAAATTCTGCGGGTTGTAGTTCCGAACTACATCCTGGGGCTCTCCAACTGCATTGCCGCTTCTAGCTATTACATGGTTTGTTGCATCAACGAGTGTGACGCGCACTTGACGCGGCTGGAGGAGGCCCTGCAGTCTCACCAGGCCACTGTGGAGGCCGAGCTGCCTTTCATTTTCTGCTTTTCTTATTTTCTTTTCAAGGCCTTCAGGCATGCAACACCATGCCGTTGCAGGCTATCCTGCTTGCTTTGAACCACACGGTCGCTCCCAGTTTGCAGCGGCGTCTGTCAGACATTGCCGCGCACCACAGCGGCCTGGTGCCGCTCCACGGTCGCCTCTTCGCCCAGTGGCTTCACCACCTCTACCCGCACGAGTGTCCTTATCCGCACATGTCAGGGACTACAAGCCCGATCCGGCCAGAGGTCTTCGAAGAAGAGAGCGGCCATCCGGCTGAAGCCTCCGAAGAAGAGATGATTCAGCATGTGGAAGGAGCACGTTGGAGGGCAGCTCCAACTCACGAGGACAGGTCTTTTGCGCAGGGGTGTTATTTTCATGAGTGTGGACACGCTCGAATCAATCTCGGAGAGGGGTCCCATGGTTCTCTATATCACTATATCTTATGTCAATCTTACGCAGGCCTCGCTAGAGGCATATTTGTTCGTCTTTCTTGTCAGCATCTGGTCCGTTGTGGTCCGGGGCATGCCTAAGAAAGCTGTGCATACTTGCGGCATGGTGTGGCAGACAGCTTCTGAATGCGCACTTAGAAGCAAGAGCCCTTTGTGGGTGGGCGAATGCGCATGTCTGCCGGGTGCGGCAGACAGTCCATGCACCCGCAGTCATTGGATTCCACCCAACAGGTCATTAGTTACATTAAAGTTGCGTAGTTGGTTTGTGATTTGCTTATGGGAGTCAGCTGCTTGCCCTTTGAGAAATTCTTCTCATGAGCTCGGCACTTCATGGAGTAGGCTGCACAGACTGAGCTGCACCTGAGGAGGGCATGTGCTCTCACATGTGGTCCATGGAGGAAGAGCTCATTGATCCAGCTGCACAAGGATTGACGCGGCTTCTAAAAGAACCGCAGAGCCAGGCTGTTGGGGCGCAGCGCTTGGCTGCAGTTCTAGCCGCCCTTTGCATCTTCAGCGCTTTCGGCTCTACCTTCGCCGCAAAGGAAGGCTCAGGAAGACGATGGCACGTGAGCTCAAACAGCGAGCAGCCGGAGAGATCTGCAGTGTACAGCGTGTGATGCATACCTCGACGCAGCTCGAGATGTGGCCGACAGAACAACAGCTGCATTTTGTGTAGACGGCAGATGCTTGAGGTTAGCCATTCTAGCAGGTCGTGGCAGGAAGCGCACAGTGGTTTGCAGAAATTCCTTGGTAGCACTCAGCAGGCTGCAAGTTGCTCCGTCATTCCAGCATCACCATGCGCACCTCTAGAGAATCAGCTTATGAATAGCGAGCAAGAACGAATTCGGCCCATCGTGACAGCGTGCTCTGGCAGAGCAATGTCCATTGGTGGTGGTCGCAGCTTTTTGCCTGTTCAAAACAACATCACTCATGGCGTTTTCAGTCAGACGGCGTCCCTTTGCGGTACCCATGCAGGTAGGCAGCAACTCAACGAGCGAGAGTCAAGTCACAAAGCAGGGGGAAGGGGCATCAGCAAACGAGAACTAGGAGGCATTGTGCGAACTGGATCACAGGGGCACAGTCTAAGCTGCCTCGGGCTGCCAGCCATCGTCAGCCTGTAGCTGGCACACCAGTAGCTCCAACAGTTTTTTCCCGCACTGGTGGGAAGATGAGCTGCGGCCGACCCCAGTGCAAGCGAACCTTTCGAGGCCGTCTTGTTCTTGCTCGGAACTTGCTGCTGTTCTCATGGACGCATGATGATGCATGGGTACCAGCGCTTCACACAGCATAAAGTCGTCGAAGCGCACAATCACTCGAACCAACCACTGCAATGACTACACTCCCCCTTAAGCAGCTTACCTGGAGCACACGCCCTTGGACCCCCTGCAATCATCTCGAGGCCCGCCGTTGCACTTCGGATGCAAATGGCGGCTGAGGGGCCGAAAAGGGCATGCTCGGCTTGTTGCAGTTGTTGTCACCGTGGATGGCGGCGGCCAGACACATGGGCCTGATGCAAAGTCGTTGGTGCAAAGCGGATTGGTCTAGCCAATCCAGCATCGCCTCTAGCACCTCGTAAAGTCGTAAGGAAAGACTGCACCAGAAGCAACCGAGCAGCGTGGTCCAGACAGAACCTCTCAGGTTCTGCCGCTGCGGCCTTGAGTTCTGCTCAGAAGCGTGCTTCGTATCTGCATGGCATTCGGAGCACCAGTCGCTTGGCCACGTTTTGGTTGCCTTGTTTCGTGTCTTTCAGGTGGAGGGGGCATAAGCAAGAAGCCTCTGTGGCAGCCAAGGCTAGCATGCCCGCAAGCTGCTCAGATCAAGGAGGACGGGAACTGGGCACAAATCCATATCTGGCAAGGTTTCGTTTGGCTTTGGCTATATGCCTGCTAGAGTCGGAGGCTTCACACACTGACTCTACGAACACGCAAGTTCTTTCGACGGAATGATAAGGATCGGCCATCCCTGTCAAAAATGTTGAAGTCCAAACAGTATACCACAGCTTCGGTCATTCGCGCCTCGTATCGACGTAGCGAGGATCTGGAGGCACGGAAGAACAGCGGCCTGGGGGAGAGAAGCACTACAGGTCAGCTTGTGGCCACGCCCTCAGACTTGGATCCCATAGCCAGCGCCGAGTTCAAGAGAGATCTTAGAATAGGCGCTGAGGAGCTGCCTGAACACACGGGGCGATTGCTGTTTAGATGAATATGCTGGTTGCACTGCATCGTCATCACGATATATTACGGCATAGTTCCATGGGTCACTGTATGCACAAGGTGAACAGAGTTGTTTAGCCGCCCACTGAGGCCGTGGCTCTCTCCAGGACGCGCCCAGCAGACTTCGGGGGACACCCGCAGGTCATCTCGCCGAAATCAAGCCCCAAGGTGAAAGAGGCCGAAGCCTACAGAATCATTGGCCCTTTACGTATTGAGTTCTATTGGATCTGGTGCGTACTGAGCACGAAACCCTTTCTGTCCCAGCGGCAGCTAGAGCAGTTGGGGGATAGTCGGCTGCTAGTCTTGAAGGCCAGGGTCGCGCTTGCCACAACCATGTCTTTGCAAGAGCCATGAGATTCCACCTGAATTCTGTTGCCGGCCGCGGCTGAGGTTCCGAGCACGGAGACCAAGGTCACGAGCCTACATAAACTTCAGTTTCGGAGGGGATGCTCTGATTGCGACGCGTCATAGCAACATCTGGGACAGGCCTCGGGTGTCGGGAACTTTGAAGTTCTTCCCAGGATGCTTGAGCTTGTCCGACTGTGTGGATGCGAGGGTCAATCATCCGTCAAGTCGAATCAAGGACTGGATTCAGAGTCGCGGGAAGATAAGCCGATGGTAACGAACCCCACGACAGCATGACAGTAAGGGTCGCTGCTGTGCCGAAATAGGGAATGGAAAATGGATAGACAGTCGGAATAGAAGCACTGCTGCCCGTGTAGATGTAGACCTAGTGGCAAGGCTTTGCTGTTCCTGGATGGTGCCATGGTCCGTAGTTGTAGCAGCCATAGCAGTAGCAATTGCACCACATCCAAATACAGCTGCGCTGCCGCCTAGACAAACGTTTCCGAATGCTTCCACGGTTAGCTTGGCCAACAGTACGGCATGATGGTAGCCAAGACCGTACTGTATCATGATCGTGCCACAGATTGCAACTCGGCAGTCATGCGAGCAGTCAGACCTTATGGGAAGTAGTAAGGAGGATTAGGAGGATGTGACTGAACCCTCCTGCCTTTCTGCTGACAGGGTGTGGACGACTCAGCCAAGAGTGGAGGTGGGCATGCCGCTGTGTTTACCAGTCCTAACATTGGTGTTGATGCCACGGCAAGTGGGTATGGAGCTTTCTTTTTATGATGGTTACCAGGATATGGGTAGGACTCTTATACCAGAGGGCTCCGACAATTGAGAGACGGCATACCACACGCTGCAACGAATGCCCGCAGGCAGCTCGCCAGCCGCTGAAAAGGATGCCCGCGGTACCACCGCAAAAACGAAGGACTTGCACCTTGGGAGCACAGCCCAAGCCCGTCCTCCGTGGCCGGTGGTTCGACCCAGAAAAACTGCTTGGCACCCGAGGCTTGCAGGCATCCAGAGATGGAGACGCGAAAGCCAAGCGAACTTCCAGACTGTCGGAGATCCCATTGGCAACGGCGCCTTGATGATATGTAGTCCTTACTACTACTACTACTAGTACTACTACTACTACTACTACTACTACTACTACTACTACTGCCACCGCTAGTACAACTAGTTACTCTTGCAGACGCCGTGCAGCTCAGGGAAGTGCGTCTCAGTGTTAGAGCAACTCTCGTGGGAGCAACTCATTTTGGCAGCAAACCAACTCGTCGCAGAGAAGAGTGGTGGGGTCAGTGAGGGGGTTCAAGGTTGAGTCGCGCAACATGCTGCCTGAGGCTCTTATGGGCAAGTCACCAGGGTCCGCCACAAGGACACCGGTGAGCCGCTCGGCAATGCAACTCTGGTCTCTAGCCTCCATTGTTCAGACCCTTGCGGACAGCCGACACATGTATAGACTTACGAACAGCACGCTGGAAATGCCGGTGAAGAAGCCCCCATGAGATCTCGACAACAAGTCTTGCAGCTGCTGGCTCGCATAGCTGAGGATCTTTGCGATGAAAGCAGTCCCCAAGCAGAAGATCCGAGATCAAGGCATGCTGGACGCTTGGCTGAGACAGCGCTTCGGAAATCTCTTAGGTAACCACCGGACTCCTGAGCCTTGTACGATATCTCTGTCTGCGAATGCCCCTGACGATCTGCTCCCCTGGATGCAGGCGCATGCCTAGTAGGCTGGGAAATGCAGGGTCTTCGCAGATGTGCACAGGTTACGGTTAGGGGCCGAGCGACGGGTCTTTGGGGAAGGCCGTACCGCGAGAGTGCGGCCATGTTTGAAAGTCTTGTAATTCATGAGAGCTCCCTTCGAACGAGGCATACCTCATGCGCGAAATCCGGACGCAGATGCAACTCACCCACCCATGCTTCCTGCCTGCATAAAGTTGCATAGAGACATTCGCAGTCACGGGCTTCATGACTTGAGGCTGTTGTGGCCTCCGTAAACGCATGCAAACCGCAGGCATTGTGCAGTTGCACTACTACTTCGAAGATGAGCACCACGTTCTTCTTTTGCTGGAGTATGCCAACGGTGGCTCCCTTTTCTCTCTTCTAAGGCTCGGCGTTGGGACCGGGAGGGCTTAGACTGCCGTTCGTTTACGCAACTGCATAATTTCGTTACACAGGGACCTTTTGCAGGCAACATGGCCAGCTACCTGAAGCCGAAGCGGCGAGGTGCTCTGCCAGCACCGCAGTCCTTCTGATGTGCTTGGTTTTTGGTTTCTGTCATGTCCCAAGCCCTATGCGAAGCTACTGCAAAAGCTCATGCGATTTCAGAAGCCAGAGTGCTAGTGCCAGGTACTATGTCGATGTGGCGCTTGCTCTCATGCACTTGCACAAGCATGGGATTGCATCTTGGCCGCAAGAATTGGGAGCCCTGGGAGGCCGCGTCCCTTGTATGGCTTGGCCGGGGCCGGGGCGAGCATGTGCAAGGCTATGCTAGCATTTTTTGTGTGGCACTTAGGCAGGGTGCGGCCTCTAGCCAGCTAGAAACCACAGCAACTGCAAAGCACAGCAGCCGAAAGCATTTCCTCAAGACTCATGCTATTCAACAGATTCCAGGGGCAAGAGCCATTTGCTTCTCTTGGTTCTCGGATCAAGCACGGGAGAGTGACCTACCAAAGTGCTGAGGTGCACAGGGACCTAAAGCCCGAGAACATACTCATGTGTGGCGACCCTCCGACAAAGGCCAGGTTGCAGGAAATTGTGCTTGCGCCACGCTTCCAGGCAGTGCAATCAAAGCTGTTCTTGCAGAGTAGAATCTGCAGTGTTGACACCTTCACACTCCAAGTGATCGGGATGTGCCATGGTGTGCCGCACTGGACTGCCCGTCCTTCTGCCGAAACCGCTATGCATGGCTCGTGTGCCACAACGAGTCATGTAGACGCTTCCATTGTTCAACCTCGTCTTGTTCAGTTTCGAGAAGCTCTGCAGCCAATGTCTGAAGTGTTGCGTGCACGAGATCAACCAGTTCCGGTGAGTCCGCACGCCAAGCGGATTTGATGCATGCATCCATCGGGATGTTCCGTTCGAGGAATTCGGATTCCCTTTCACGGTAGCAATGCTATAGCAGCATGCACGCAGCCCGCTCGCTGATAACTGAGACATGTCACCGGGGTACGGTACACATCCATGCATCGCCTGCGGCGACGCACCGCTGCCAGGCCAAGCTTGCAGACTTTGGTTGGTGTGCAGAGCTCGAGAAAGGCGGCGCGCCGCGGAACACGTTTTGCCTCTCGGCCGAGATTTTCTTTCGGCAGACTTCAGACCGATTTACACGGTTTTACACGTCATGAGATCGTGGCAGTCTTGAGCATGGTTGCCTGGTTGCGGCATGGCAGGCAGTCGGCGCATCATGCTATCAACCTGGTCCTGCTTTCGAGCTCTCAGAAAGACAGCTACCATCCAAGGCGGAACATGGGACTACCTCTCCCCTGAGATGGCACGAGGCTCAGGAGAAACCAGCCCCCGTCGCCGTTCATCTCCCCCTGTGTGACTCGCACATCTCATGACCTCCGCTGCTATGCCCAGGTGGAGAACCAGCCTCACAACAACAAAGTCGACATCTGGGCCACAGGTACAGCGAGTAGCGAACTCTTGTTTCCGCGGTGTTTGGATGGCTGCCCCCTTTGTTGTAAAGATGCTGTTTTCTGCAGCAACTCGATCTGCGGTCTTCTCCAGTTTCCCAGAAGCATCCCTACTGGACTTGATAAGCCCATGCAGGTGTTCTCCTCTTCGAGATGCTGACCGGGAGAGCTCCGTTTTCTGCACCAAGACACCCGGCAGGAAGATGCAGCACGAGCGGTCACTCGCGAGAGCAAGAGGGGCAAGAGCGAGAACTCGAGAACTCGAGGGAGGACATTTTTTTCGTCTTCTTTCATCCGGGACTTTCTGTCTGCAAGCTTGTGCAGTACTGTACTTCCGGCCGGTCTCCTGCAAAAAATCTCAGGTCCAGCGAAGGCCACAGATCGCATTCGCAAGGTGGATCTGCAGGCTCGCAGCCTTTGGGCGGCCCCGACGAGCCGAGTTGCCCCATGCGAAAAGACTTGGGAGGTGCCTGGTTACGTGCCACCACTGGCCGCTGACTTGATGCAAAAGCTCCTGGTTCGTGAGCCTGCGATGCGACCTGGCCTGGTTTCGCTTCTTAGAATCTTGGGACCAAGGACGTAATTCTTCCTGACGGCTGTTGCTAGAATCTAGGGACCTAGATTTGATTCTTTGCTGGGTCATTGCTTCTTTCGAAGTGCGCACCTGAGGCGAATCGGGCTCTCGGACCGGGGCTGGGCTTTCAACGTGTCATGACTCCATGCAAACCGCAGCAGCCCCTGTCCGTAAACGAATGTGTTTCTTCCGGATGCCTAGCCTAACTCGAAGAGGGCAGAGCGCCAGGACGCTCTGAAGCACAATTGGATTGCCCTCCAAGTGCCTGGTACATCATTGGATCTGACCAAGGCTTGCGAAGTCTGTGAGGGAAGTGTTCGAACCCACATCCACATGTAGAGCCTGGCCTAGGAGTTGCTGTTGACTTTGATGCATCGCTCCGAGCATGTCGAAGCTCCCAAAAAGTCTCAAAAGCCCTGGCAGTCCACCGCCGATGTTGCGGTTGCGAAGCAGCTGGAGCTTGCTGCAAGGCCTGAAAGCATGCCTCGGGGCCGTAGAGTCGTTGGCTTCCCTTCCTTGTGTCACTACTTCCACTCGAGATGCCAACAGGTGCAGCCGTTGTGAACGCATATCTACGGCGGTCGGTGCTGTGCCTTGATGTGCCTTATGCCAGGCCGCCGACTCCAAACAAGGCCCGCAGCTGCAGCATCCCTGCATGTCCTAGGCAGAGTTGAAGCAGGACAGATCAGAAGACGGAAGCCAGACATGAAAATCCCACAGCTATTATAGGCTAGGGGAAGTATCACGTCAGACCTGTAGTATGAGGCTGCAGAGATCAGGCTGTGCCAAATCTGAGCAGGTCGATCCTTTATGAATGAATAGTTGAAGGGCCTTGAGAGAAAAAAAAGGTTTGTGCCTTCGAACTTCGATTCGGGAAGCGGTTTGCCCTGCCGGCATGTGTCGATACAGTCACGTACAGTAGGGGTCGCTCTGGAACCCTAACTTAGTTTAAGTTCCTGAGCCGCAACCCAGTAACAAAAGTGCCCCCCAGCCTTCCTTCGAATTCGGCCGTCGCTTAGCCCGATCAACAGTCTTCGTCATGCCTTGCGTCCAGCTTATGCAGCTGCTGCCCCGGCTTCAAGGGCAAGGAAGCCGCGCAAGGCCCGAACTGGCTTCACCGTCGCAGCCACTACAAGCTCACTTGGGCCGAGCCTTGCCACAGGGCTGCTAAGGCTTCTTCTCGGGCCCAACGACGGAGAGGGGAGGCAAGGGCGACAGTGGCGAGTTGCAGCTGGTGCTACACGAATAGCAGGAAAGGCAGATGGGCGGTGGTATCACCTATACTGCACCACCCAGATCATCCTGGATCGCTTTTGCTTCCCCTTGTTTTGCCGGCAATGTTGCAGACCTGACGAAGTCATTGTGGCAATGCCTTGGTCGGATCCTCAACATTGCCGTCGAACAAGCGCCGGCAAAAGCCATTCGGGTGTTGCGACTTGAGAGAGACTTCCTCGACTCGAAGAATCCACAGCCTGCCTGCAGCACGAACACCTGCATGACAGTGGGACTCCACGACGACCAAGGGTGCAAAGATGAGCAAAGCAAGCGATGCTTGAAAAGATTACAGAAGTTTTCCGGAAAATCGTGACAGCACACTGTTGGCGATGCTCATCATGCCGCACGTGTAGAGTGGTTACAGTACTCGGCCAAGGTTCAGACATAGTCTAGACGGTAGAAATGTTCAGATTGTTCTGTCACGTCTGGCCATATTGCAGCATGAATGACAGGAGAAGACGCAAGCTGTAAACAGGGCTGCCTGCAAACCGCTTTGGAGGTTGTGCAGCCACTGGCCCCACTTGCTGCCACAAAGGAGGTCACCGTCGACAGGCCCGCTGCATGACACAATGCATGAGTAGAAAAGCTAGAATCAGCTAGAACAAGATAGCATATGTCTCACGCAGCGGATCTCCAGCCGCATTTCTGAGACGTGCACTCCGCAGGGGACCTGGGCCGAGCTCTGCTTACGCGGAGGCTTGGGAGTGTCTGGAGTCGATGTTTACTGCACCCAACCTTGTACCAGCGAGGCACTGTCATTCAGTCCACAGGCACCGCCAGAGAGCAGCCCAAACACGGCATCTCCAGCGTCGACTCTCTCAGTGGCACCCGCTGGAGTTCGGCATCGAGGCAGAGGGCATTTATTTGAGCTTTTCACTGTCTATGGTACGACATATTCCGCCCTTATGCTTGTGCTTTTCTGGTCAAGTCAATGTTGGGACTCCACGCCTGATCTTCTGTGGCAGGCTATTCCGATGGAGACGGCAGCTTGGCACAATCGTGAAGTTGTCTTCAGCATCTCCACCCTGTCAGAAGAAGGTTCCGGCAAAAGAAATAACAAGAAGAAGACTATAGCGATAATACAAAGTGCAGGCTAAGGCGATAAGGTCATATGCAGTAAGAATGGGACGAGATTCGGGGGATCTGCCTGCCTGCACCGAGGCAGCAACCATTCCGTGTCTTCTGCCTCCACAGTTCAGGCACTTGAGGATGCAGCTAACATCCGCTTTTGCGAGTGGACGAATAGATTAAGCATTTCCTTAGGGCTCCCGAATTTAATTATAGTGTACTGTACCCAAACTCTATTCCAATTTTTTGTTAAGGCGTTACACTAGATTAATTGCATTAGTTCATCCCATTTCAGACTTCCGTTTTCGTCAAAAGAAACACTTAGACCCTATGCTGCGTGCGAGTGTGAGAGTCGAAACAAGCCTTGCCTGCTGCGTGCGAGTGTGAGAGTCGAAACCCCCAAACCCTGTACGCCCGAATTCAACCCTGAGCCGCTAAACTGAGGAGCCTTGCCTGCCTGGTGCGAGTGTGAAGGTCGAAGCCTGTAAACCCCAATTACCCAGAGAACCCAATACACCTTAAGTGAGGAATATACCTTGAATTATAGGGGCCTTGATATTATGATTTTAGGTATATTCCTTGATTAAGGGGTATTGGGTTCTCTGGGTAAAACCTCTTCAAACGCCTCCCCTGCAGATACCGCGGCCAAAACCCTCAGTCATGCCGTGGCTCCTGGGCTGATCTGGGGTTTAGGGTATAGGGGATAGGGTTTAGGGTTTAGGGTTTTTGGGGGTATAGGGGAATGGGAGATAGGGTTTAGGGTATAGGGCCTAATGGGGGATGGGGTTTAGGGTTTGCACTGCTTCACGGCGACGGCAGTTCCGGGCGAGAGAAGCCTGCAGCAAAAAGGGTGTAGGAGCAAGGCACTATCAATTCCGTGTTGCCGTTGCTTACCGCCATCGCCCTGCCCCCCGGCACCACGCTACAATCTAC